ACTATGTTAAAATTTTTCAATAAATTGATCGACAAAATTTCAAAAATCTTACATAGTGGGCCAATCATATAGTGCTGTACTATGATAGTTAATCATTTGGTATCTAACACCCCAATGTAACATACGTGGTTTTATAAATTATACTGATTAATATGTAACGTACGTATGTACGTCAAGTTTAATTAGTGATTATACTCGGGTCAAGTATTACTCGGATTAACTGCGTGTAACCAGATAACCAGGTAATAATAATAACTACAGCTACTCGGGTAGATAAACCCAAGTATTACTCAAGTAAGTATACCAAGTTAATACTCACCTAGTATAGCCACAAAATCAGTTACGTAATCACTTCAACCTACGCATAAGAATAATAAAATCACGAGGTCGCAGGATTTTTTAAGAAATAATCGAAGTTTTTTTATATTAATTCAACTTATTAGAATTTATTTAATTATCGCTACAAGTTCTAAATAATTATGCTCAATTCAAAAGTATAGAATGAATTTACATCTAAATTCAAATTTTAATTAACACATGTACTAATAAAGGTATTTTGTTACATCTACTCCAAGTTTTCAGAAGCTTTTTTGCTCATCTAACATTTTTCAATAGATTTAAAGTTCGATACTTCTATGCCATTTTTTTTGTTTGGGAAGATTATTAGACTTTTTAAGTGCCTAAAACATAAAATTAATAAATAAATTTATTTAAACTTGGAAATATAATGAAAAAAAATTTTTATACCTCATGAAGAATTTTTCTTAAAATTTCAAATTCGATTCACTATCTTCTGAATTTACCAGATCGATCGTTAAATTGACTTGTGTAATTGATTAAGGTTAATACTTGAATATTTTCCCATAAAGTTTTTAGTTTCAGTACTGAGAGGATTTTGAAAAGTGCATTGAACCTAAATTAATATAATATTAGGTTTAGAAATTTTAAGCCATATATAATGACAATGAACTTGAAAAAAGCTTCATCTATGTTATTACTGAAATATTTACAACTATCTCAAGATCCATATACATATTGCTTTCTCTATCAACTTTTATAAGTTTTTCATAAACTATATTCAAGCACTTCAGATTTTACAGCAAATATCATTTAAAATTTGATCTTCATGTTCCTGTTTTTTGCTTTCATTCACACAGGTTGTACACTTTAAAAACATGTTTGTTATTATTTTGAAATACAGTTTTTGGTTTCGTAATTCGACAAGATGAATAAAGTTGTGTGTGTTCATAATTCGACAAGATGAATAAAGTTGTGTGTATTTATTTTAGAAAATATTGTATTATGATATTCAAAGAAATAAAAATTTTCATTGTAAAAATTTGGTATTATTATTCTTATAAATGCCGCCATTTTAATATTGGTAATGAATTGGGGTGTTCCATACTAAATGATTTACTATTATAGTGCAGCACAATATGATAGGCTCACTATGTAAGATTTTTGAGATTTTGTTGATCAATTTATCAAAATAATTTATCATAGTAATTTAATTATAAAAATCTATGTATTTTTAAAATATTATAACTTCTGCTCCAGTAAAGCAAATTCAATTCTATAACTTGCAAATGATATATAAACAGTATAATTTTAAACCCATGTTGAAACATTTTCTAATTTATTTAATTAATTTAACCAAAATTCTAGATTATTAATAAAATCATCGTTATTTTTGAGTTTAGAACATAGAAACACATTAAACTTACATATTGACAATAAATATTGCAACATAGATTCAAAACTATACTCTTTATACACCATTCACAAGTTACAGAATTAAATTTGCTTCACTAGAGTGTGAGTTATAATTTTTTTAAGATGTGAATTTACTATAGAATTATCACATGATCAAGCTCGCATGTTCAGATATTAATCAAGGTTGTATGTACATATAAACGTGTCAAGTTTTATTTAAAGTTAAAATACTTGGATTTTTAATATAATTGCATTAATATATGTGAACTTTATATATAGGAGATTTCAAAGTTAACAAATAAGTGACGTGTTTCGAAAACAAATAGGATTTTTTTAACAGCATTTTTACTGTTAAATTATAAATTGGAAACATTCTCTGATTTTAACTTTGAAACCCAAATCAAAAAGGTATTTAATATGCTGTTATTATTTAACAAAATGAATTAATTCTAAATCTTTATATTGGGTTTTCAAATTTAACAAATATGTAATGTGTTTCGAAAATAAGTAGAATTTTTTCAATAGTTTTACTATATTGAATTGTAGATCGGAAAATAAAATAGAATTTTTTATTACAACATATATTACTACAAATTGATAAAAATTTGATATAAAATTTTTCTATGAGCTCATTATGATTATATTTAAAAGTAAATAGATATTTATTTAAAATGTAAAGTTTTTATTCAAGTTTAGTTTAATTTGTTAAAAATGACTTGCCCAACAAATAAAGAAAATGTCTGCAAAAAATTACTAAAGACTGTGAAGCTAAAAAATGATGCTGTAATATTTATGAAATTATTAATTCTTTGGACAAAGAAGAGTTAATAGATATTCAAAACCACATTAATTCAATAAATCTCCCAAATGTTAACATATACGAAACTATTAATTCTTTGGACAAAGAAGAGTTAATAAAAGTTCAAAACCACATTAATTCAATAAATCTTCCAAATATTAACATATATGAAACTATTAATTCTTTGGACAAAGAAGAGTTAATAAAAGTTCAAAACCACATTAATTCATTAAATCTCCCAAACGTTAATATCTATAAAATTATTGATTCTTTGGACCAAGAAGAATCAATAAAAATACAAAACTACATTGATTCGATTCATCCTAAGTGACAAAGCACTATAGAAAAAAAACGTGATACATTAATTGATCAAATAAAGAGCATACCAGATAATCAAATTCTAAGAATAGAGAATTTAATTAATATGATGGTATATTCTAAAGGTAAATTAAAAGGCGAAATATTGTTTTCTTACTTACAAAATAAAGCAAATGAATTCGTAACTAGTGGTCTTTTTAAACATTCTTCATCTGTTTGTGCTTTGCAAGATAAAATAAACAGATTAAAAACTGAAAATAAAAAGTTAGTTAAGTCTTTAGAAGCATCGAATTTTAAACTTAGATCTTTTCGTATAGTGCTTGTATAAGCAGAAAAGACCAAGTGAAAATATATTTCAAGGATTCAATCTATTGCTCAAAAATCAAAAAAAATTACAAAAAGTCAATTTCAAAAGGCCGCAAAAAAAAATAATAAAGCAAAATAATCATAAATATACAGCCAAATTTGTCAAGCTTGTCACTAATATGAATAATGCCGGGTCAATTTCACTTTCAGCAACAGTTGAGTGTACTAAAGCAATGGTAGCTTTTTTTATTGGAGAAACACCAAAATGTTGGCTCTCAACTGGAACTCTTTCTCGTTGGAATAAGGAAGTTGCTAAAATATCACTTCAACAAAATTGACCAGGTGAACCACATTCACCTTTGTATTCATATGGTGTAATGGCTGATGAAAGTAAAAGAGGAGATAAAAAAGTTTTTTGGTTTGTATTTTGTATTGGAATGAATCTGCAAATAAACCAATTATTACCCTAGAAAGAATGATTGATATAAGTAAATGTAGTGGTAAAAACGTAGCCAAAACAGTAAGAAAAACATGTGAAGAAAATAAACTAAACCCAAAACAGTGTAGGTTTTGGCTTACTGACAATACGGCATATATATCAGGAAGCAAATCGGGTGCCATCGTTGAATTTAATAAGCAAGCTAATACATCTTCATTTAGAATTCCATGTGGCCTGCATGCATTACAAATAGCCTTAGTTGCTTTTGAAAATGCTGCATTCAGAAAGCTAAATACTGTGTCGGGATTGTCTTTGCGAGAACATCCTCATAATCTTCTTCAACTCATATACCATCTATATGATAGTTATGGTGAAAGTGATAAAGAATGTCTATTAAATATGAAATCAAAAACAATATAAAATCTATATTGGACACTTCTACAACATACCTTGAAAAAATATCAAAAGCCTATTTCAAGCCTATGGCAATATCAGCTAATAATGGCAAATCAATATCTTGAAAATTTTAATGCCCATTACCTCTTTGGAACTTGGTTTGTAAATCAGCTTGGCCAACTCAAAAATATACCTGAAGGGTATATTAAACAATGGAAAGTTTTTGTTGAATGGATTAACAACACAAAACTTAATCTTCAAGTAAAGTGCATGCTGCAATTCGGAAATTTTTTTTATTTAAATTTTTTTGAATTTCTAACCAGGTTTGATACCATACCTTGAGTGTTAGAAAATAATACGTTCAAACATCTTCCTCCAGGATACCATGCGCATGAACTTCCTGATCAAGTTCTTTTTTGGCTTGAAAAATTACAAAGTTCAATTACTAATCCATATATTATTTTTGAAAAGGAATTTGTTAAAGCACAATCGAAACTATGTGATCAGGAATTTATGGGTTTAATTTACAATATTAAACTTGGGTTAGAAAAAGCACGAGAAGGGTTTTTAAAATGGATGGGCTGCTGGACTCATTTACCCTTAATAATATGTTTGTTAGGTGGAGATAACGGGCCTGACTTTGCACGAAGTGTTTGCCGTGTTTTCTTAAACCACTCATCAAATGTTGAACCAACTGAAAAAGAACTCCTATATGCTGAACTATTAGAAAAAGATAAGTTAGAAGGAAATATCTTATCATTTGGTTTATTTAATGCATTAAATGATTCTAATTTTTTAAACCAATTTCTTAGCTTCTCAATATCTCGTCCACATGAACTCTCTAATTTTCCTCTTCTATATGATTTTGTAAAATATAGAATATGGTCAATTATAGTTCATCAGCAGCAACTAGAAGGAATGTTTAATAAATATGATATCAAAATTCACCCAAATATGACTGACGAAGTGCAAGAAGCAAGGCTCCTACTCTCAAGTCCAAGTAAACTGGAGGTAAGTTTTGATCGTGAAGATTTAAAGGCAATCCGGAAAAAGCAACAGAGTAATATAGCTGAAAATACCGAAGAAGAGCTTGGTAAAGCGGCTGCTCAAGCTATTTTAAAAAATTTGGTAAAAAAAAAATAAATGCATTTTTTAAAAAAAAAAATAATAATAAATAAATGCGCTTTTAAAAAATAAATGCATTCAAAAAAAAAAAAAAAAATTTTTTTTAACCAAGAATGTATCCGAATATGCCTGATTTTCCAGTAAAAAATCCTAACAATTAGATCTGATTATAGTGTCGCACTATGATAGTAGATCATTTGGTATCTAACACCCCAGTAATGAATTCAATAAATTTAAGCTCCGTTTACATACCTGATTTTGGTGGACCAGGTACAACGGGTAAAATTTTATACCCGAGTATACCCGTCGATCACTCGGTTAACCCGCGGGTATACTTGCCGGTTAACCGGGTAACGTTTTTTGACCGAGTACAATCACTAATGCCGACTATACCTATAAAACTTGATAAAAATACAAATACCCACGTGATAGATTAATGTTCTGCATCATTTCAAAATTTAAGTCGATACCAAATTGACCTAAGTCATTTTTAAAATTTGAAACTAACACAAAAAAAAAGAAAAATTACTCTGTATTTTATTATGCAAATTTTTTAGAAATTTTTACGATAATAAAGACATATATATGAGTTAAAATAAAATTTTTAATTTAATAAAATTTTTTTAATTTTCAATATTTATATTAAACTGTATTTAGACAAATCTACAATCTAAGCTATACATATAATATAATAAAATAAAAAGAATTTAAAAAAGTGCAACACCATTTTTGCAACATCAAAATGTTATTTTCGAATTTAATGTTTAATTATCTTAATATAAAAAGTAAAAAGCATATTTATCGTAGGTTGGAACTAGTGCTCCGAACGGGTCGGGTCGGGTTAAAAATTTTTGGGTTAGAGCTTCAACCCGAACCGAACCCGACCCGAAATTTTAGGCTAATATATTAACTTTTTTTAAAAAATTGAATTCAATCGCCCTTTTTGCTCTTAAACGTTTAATAATTCATGTAACGATGGTCATTGAAGTTGGCTAATCAAATCTAAGCGCGGTATGCTCATAAACTCAGCGGGCTACTACAGTAAGAATCGTGCATCGCATATTTAGAATCAATGATAGTTTTTTTTTATTTTTATCCTATGGATTTATGGAATTAATATAAAAAAGTTTACTGATTTTGCTGTCGAGAAATTGGTCGAAGTTAAAAAGAATTTAGCCGATTATTAAAACAAAGTCAGCAGTTAAGTTTTTTGGTAATTGCTGAGATATTTTAGTTCAAAGTTCGTAAAAAGTGTATAATATTATTATCAGGGATTTTTAATTTCATCAGTTTGAGATATCAATAAATATGCACCATTCAGATCTCTTTGATGAATCAAACTAATTTCAATACATGTGGTTAGAGTTCCAATCCATTATCCATTTATCCATTTATCCATGGATATCCGGATATCAAATGGATAAATGGATAAAAT